TTGATGTCTCCTGCCCCGTAGCTAAGCCCATTTTCTAGATAAGCATCCAGCAACTCTCCTGGAATGTGGCTGACTGGTTAACTGGGTCTAGGCAGTACATCCATATTCCATATTTTAAGTTTCTCAAACTTTTCTCTGTGACTACAAGTGAGCTCCGTGTTCTCTAGTCTATTCCATAAGCCTCAGTGTCCTTTGTTTTGCCCTCATTTCCCCCCTGTGACAACCACAATACACTCCACAAACAGTGAAGGATGAGTGCGCAGGGCACACTGACAGCCACTCGTCCTGGGTCCCTGGAGCTGAGAAGTCCCGGGCCAGTCAGGGGGTTCTGGATCGATCACTATTAGCTCTTAACAGGTGCCACACTCATCCCCCAGGCCCTTGGCTTCTCTATTGACTCCCAAAATACCTTCATCTGAAGTGTTAATGATAGGTGCTCTTTTTAGAATTTAATTAGATAAAAATCACGGTCATTAATTTTGGGGTAAAGAATCAGAAAAATCTGGTAAATCAGGAATACCTGGTAAATGAAGATTAAACCTTATAAATTTGGTGCAGAGAGAAGGTTAGGGTGAATCAGGGAGCTTGGTTTAAGACCCAGATTTACCTTTTACAAGTTATAGAATCTTGGGTAGTTCAATTCAAATATTTGAGCATTAGTTTCCTCCTCCATGGGATGCAGTGAAGATGAGTTCATATATAATTAACCTTGCCATGACATTTGGCACATTGTAGGTACTCATTGAAAAGTGGCTATCATTTTTACTTAAGTTCTATGGCTTTATATTTCTACTAGAGACCTGGTGCACAAATTCATGTACCAGTGGGGTCCCTTGGCCTGGCCTTCAGAGTCAGGCTGAAACTGGCTTTCTCACATCCCCAAAGAGTTCCCAGATTGTGAGAGGGTACAGGCCAGGCTGAGGGACCCCACTGGTGCACAATTGGGGCACAGGGATACGGAAGATTGGCCAGCCTGGGAGGGACTGTAGGAGGGCTCAAGGGTGTGTCCAGCCCAGCTCACTCAATCTCAATCGTCTGGACCCCAGCAGCAAGCTAACCTACCAGTTGGAGCATCTGCCGCCTGGTGGTCAGTGCACATCATAACAAGCAGTTGAGTGGCCTTAGTATGTCATTAGCATATTACGCTTTGATTGGTGGAACAAATGACCAGATGATCAGACACTTAGCATATTAGGCTTTTATTATATAGGATGATTTTTTTATATGATATATCAGTAGCAACTGTAGTATATCTTGGCTAGATAGGTACTACTGAATGTGAAGGGGGCAGGGGTAAATGGAATGATACTGTCTGAGCTATAGAGAAAAGGAATAAGAAAGCAATTAAATATATCTCTTTTTGGTTGGCAATATCCAAAGAATAAGTGCCTTGGAGCAGGAAAAGTTGGAATATCAGATTTCTTGATAGCTATAGTAAAATCCTTTTTAGAAAGTACTAATTTTCTTTCCATATTGATTTTTTTCAGTTTTATTGAGATATAATTGTCACATACAATGTAGAAGTCTAAGGTCTTACCACAATAAGTTTAATTAACAGTAATAATTTTATATAGATATAAGAAAAAAATAAAATGTGTTTTTATTTCCCCTTGTGATGAGAACATTTAGGATTTACTCTCTTAGCAACATTTAAATATACAGTGCTATACTCTTACATTTCCTAAATAAGTCTAGGGGGAAATTTGAAGGCCAGGAGTGAGTGTGATTTTACCAGGATGAAAATCAGATTTACAAATTAGTATGGGCGAGGGTATCAGTTTGTTTGATTTAGACCAAGAAACAACAAACTACAATCCAAAACATAAAGTTTTATTGGGACACACTTATTTACAAACCATGGCTGCTTTTGTGCTACCATCTCAGAGTTGTTTAATTGTAAGAGAGACTCAGAGACCATTGCCCTCAAAGCTGAAAATATGTACTATCTGCCCTTTTACAGAAAAAATTGTCAACCTTTGACTCAAATTATAATAGCATTATTTCTGATTGAATAGGCAGTGGTGGTCCCATCACATGAGTTTATACTACCGAAAGGCACATAATACAGAGGCTAGAGGCTTAAAGAAAAGTATATGTGAATCCATTTATTTGGAATAAGAGGGAGAATGTCCCAGCACCATCATTCTTGTGAGGATGCATGCACACAGGTAGGACTGGGAGTGAGAAGATGGAACTGAAGTATCTTCCTTGAGACAGTTACTCTGGCTGGACTATGGTTTGTCAAGTCTAAGGGAAACCATCTGATACAGGTCTAAGGAAACAGGAGTATCACTCCATATAAAGGCTCAGAGAAACATATGGTAAAGGTATTATGCTGGTGAGAAATATTTCATAAGGAATATCAATAAGAATTTGTTCCATATTGAGAGATCTGTTTTGGATCCCAACCACGTAGACCTTGCAGCAAGAAATGAAAGGTCAATTAAGACAACTTCATTTAGGGGCAAAGCTTATGAAATAACAACTCGATATCTATCCAATGAAGAAATAGGAGAGAATGTTTATCAATTGCCATTGGTTGCCATGAACTGCCTGCATAGAATTTTAGGGTTGGAGTGATGATGGGTGTGCATGCCTATGTGCAAACTGTAAAAGAAAAAAAGAGCCAGATCCATTTTCATCAAAAATAGAGGGGGGAAAAACAAAACTGTTCTGTTGTTTGAAACTCTTCTGACACAAAATATTGTAATTCATAACCAATGCTATATGACCATTTTAATTAATACAGGACTCACTAGCTACCCTCACTAACAAAACAGTTGCTCTTTGGGTGTATTTGTTTGATGCTTAAGTAGTAAACATCACCTTAGAGGATGTTTAAGTTTGTGAAAATGATGATGAATTATGTACATAGAAAATGTGACCCCGGACCCTTCTCTCTCTGATCACCACCCCCAACTCCACACCCCGCAAGCACGCCCTGCCTTCCCGCCATGACACTGGCCACACTGTTTCTGTGACACACAAAGCCCATGCCCAGGATAAGCTTCCCTTTCAAGTGCCTATCGCGCTTTCAGCATGTGCTTTGAAGAGATAGTGACATTGCTATGCTCTGACATACACCATAATGTCAGCACAGCAGAAGCAAGTGGAAGATTCTACTTTTCTGATAATGATCAGTTGCTGTTTCCTGTCTTGAAGACGAAAGTTGAGCAAATGCAAAGGTCATCTGTGTTTATATTAACAATGCAAGAGTCACGCTGCATTTTCGTAACAGCATCAGGTCATTATTTATCCACTTGTCCTTTTTTTTTTTTTTTAATCATCCTTTGAACTGCCTATATTTGCTTATCGTGATATTTCTAAGTCTGTAAACAACCCAAGTGTAGCTGTTCTATTTCTCTAAATAGAGTCTTAGGTCATTTTATTATCCAGCATTATAAGTCATAGGAATTCACCCATCTGTTGTCCTTCCGTATCTGGGGTAACTTTAACTCTTTAAGTCTGTAGAAAAACTAGATATGTTAGTGTGACATTAGTTTATTACTTTTTCCTACAACACAGCTTTCCAATGTGTCATTTTCCCTGAAAAATCATAATGAAATCCTTAAACATTTGTTTTTTTGGGAGTGGCATTATAACGACTTTTCCCCCTTTCACTTGGTTATTTTCCGAGATCAGAGACACTCAGTGTCTCTTCTTACCAACTCAAAGAAACCTTTACAGATGGAAAGTCATAGAGCCTCCAAGACCTCCTTTCCAGTAGCCAATGGGCAGATCTCCATAGCAACGGGGGAGGGGGGGCGCGGCAGGAGTGTTGGGTTCAAAAAGCAGTTTAACACCAACCATCTTGTCAATTTGCAAACCATTACAATAGATTTCATGACATACATGATTGAATTTTCTTGCATGTGCATTTTGTGGTCACAATGCAATGTTAGACCTGTTTTCAATTCATTTCACTATTTTTAATTTGAAAGCCCCTTCAGCAATGAAGAAAAAATGAGCAATCAGGTTTGAATCAAGTGTTTGGAAGATTACAATTTATCAACTGATTATAAGATAGTTCTAATATGTGAGATGGAATAAGCTCTCTTTTTATCATCTATCGGGGACAGATGCTCCCCATCAAGAAAATTGAAAAATGTTTAATTATGTTGAGTAGCTTATAAACACAGTATGAACAGAGACAGTTTCAGCCACATGATTATTTTGTTCCAAGTCCTTATCTGTTTCAGCTGGAGTAGGCCTGACTGTTCTGTGTTAACAAACCACCCCAAAATCTTGGCAGTTTACAATAATCAAGGTCTATTTTTCAAATACACTACCTTCCTAGTGGGTGTTAGCAGAGGGTTCTGCTCCATCTCATTCTCTCTATGGGACCACAGTGATGGAAATGTTTCTCTTTTAATATTAATGCTCATTATGGCAAAGGTGAACCACAAACACAAGCTATGTCTTAAGCTTCTATTGAGATACCACACAAGTCACTTACATCCCATGTCCATTTTAATAGAAGAGTAGGTGAATCCAATTCTGATTTCAGTATCTTAAGAACATAAAATTCCACCTCCCAGAGATGAAGCAATATTGGTGAATAAAATATACCACACCATCAATCCCCAGTATCATTGGTTTATTTGGGTGAATTCTTTTTTTTTCTTACAGATCCCTTTTTTATTTTATTTTATTTTTCCATCATCATTTATCTCCCTATTCCCTTTTCTAATGCCTCCACCCACTCTCTCCCCACCCCTATCACCACAGTGTTGTCCATGTCCATGAGTTCTTTCTTTGTTTTATTTTTTGCTCAATCCCTTTTTCTCAATCCCACATCACCTTCCCCATCCCTTTTAAAACATCAGCCTTAAAATAGTGCTTATAGAAATCAGCTTTACTAGTTCTATTGTTGGGATATTTTGTCTCTCCTAGTTAGCAGATTTCTATCATAGACTTAAATGGATAGAATTATCTATTATAGAATTATCACCACTATATAAATATCTATATAGTTTATGTGCTTTTAGAACTATAGGTTTTCCTGCTTAGGGATTTCACATATGAGTCTGAAAGGAACACACCCTTTAGTAAAAGGGCCAAATCCCCATACTACTCTGCTATGGGCTGGTTTCTTTTAGCAAGTTACTAAAACTAGGTACAAGGTGCTGGGGTGTCACTATTCAGCAAGTCTGCAGAATCTGTGCTTGTGACAGCTCCCTGGTAATTGGCTCACTCCCTGATGGAACCACAGCTTTTATTTCAGCAACAGTAATGGGTTGTCCTGGACCCTGGCCTCCTGTGAAGACGTCTTTATTTTGGATCTGCCCTATATCTAGGGTAGTTGGTTCAAGACTTAGAGAAATGACAGCTCTCTCCTACCAGGTAAGTTGCTTGTTTTTGTTTTGCTTTTGGGATAGGACCTAGTCATATTCCATTCACTAAGGAAAAGCACAGATTAACATTACATATGGAAGCTTGCTTATTCCTCCCCGCTACGTTACAGTTTTCCTAATTGAGCATGGATTGCACCAAATACCAGCGTGTAGCCTTCTGCAAGTCAATGTAGTCATGTTGGACCATAGTTATCAGAGGGTGGGAGTGGAGTGAAGTCTGGTTTCCTTAATACAACTTAAATAACAAGCTTTAATTTACATTTTATAATTTGATGTGGGATTAGCAATATCCAAAGATATTTACCCAGAGTTTCTCTTCTCTTTGTTTTGTAGAATGATGGGACCCAAACAGGAAAAATTGGCCCAAAGAAATAATGGCTTCCAGCTTAGTGAAGCAGACCAAAGTGTGAAGGTAAGTGTTTTGAGACTGGTTTCCTAGAACCAAGTATTTGCCTCATCGCACGTAGTCACAGCCTCCTTTTACCACTTTGGCCCAAACACTAGAAAGCCTTCTGCCCACTGGCAGTGTTTCCCTTGCCATATGCTGATTACTAATGCCAGTAAAATACCTAGGTACTTTGGCAGTAACTTATACAAATACGCGTGTTTCTAATTACAGGGAAATTGTTAGAACACGACTTGGACTAGAGATACATAGTTATTAATCTGGGAAGAAATAGTGCTTTGTTTTTCAACAAGAGAAAATAAGAACTTTATTTTAATCATTTCTTTCCCTTTCTCTCTTTTTTTGTTTGTTTATCAAAACAAAATGCATGGGCAATTTCATAAACGGGCAATACCAGAAGTTCTTGCAAACCATGTGGCCATTTCTACTCAGACTGGACATACTGCATCTGTTACGTGGTTTACATCCACTTCCCTGCTGCAACTGCATGCCCACAGCCCTGTGTCCTGCGTTGTTCTTTACCATGTAATGTACCATGCACATTTTTAAAGAATAAATGTAAATTAATTAAAGTTGTTCCTTTAAATATATCTATATATCTATATAGTTTATGTGCATAGTTTTTTTTTTGCTTTTTTCTTATCGTTTTTTTTTCTTACAGGTCAAAAGGTTAAACCCGAGAGTGGTATGTGTGAATGGAAATTGAATGCACTAATGTCAAATGGGCAAGGAGGTTCTTTAGGCAAATCACACGGTTCTGTTCTTGACTCTGCTGTTATAATTTGCATTATCAAATCACTGTGTCTTCAGCCTTAGGACAGGGCTACTATTATTGTCGGCGGATTTTGCAACATAATCTTGACTCATTCAGTGAACCGCACACAATCACCTGAGGCCAGAATCCCAGTCCACAGGAATTCCCTTTCAAGTGTGGTGAACTACACTCTTTTTCAAGATCCCCTTAAGAATTCTCAATTTCTTGCACATAGAATTGTTTTTGCTTATTAATGAAGCAGAGAATGCTTGTAATATTCCCTTTGCTTCACCACACTCAAAGAAGAAGAGAAATCTAGTATCATATCTATGAACTTCAATAAGTAATCTATTTTTCTTTTTTCTAGAACAAACCTGGCAAAGTGTTTAAGAACACATGTGTAGAGTCTGGGCAAATGGTGGCAGCTTAGAGGCACTTGGGTGAGGTTAGGTTAGAGACAGGTAAATGGAGAATTCGCCAAAGAGGCTTTTCCATTTAAACTTTGGTCTGAGCTGACTCCCAATAGTCTAAGTAGTTTGCTACAGTTTCTGGCAGTTTGCATGCAACATATTATGTTCATTGCTGAAAAACAGGGACTGTGCTTTTTGTGTGTGTGTAAACAATGAGTTAATGACAAAGCAGCTACAGAGACACTGACACAAGAAGGCATTTTGTCTCCTAGAAAATGCACCATTTACTATGGTAGACATGCCCAGTCTAATTGGCTCTTGTATTACACTGAAATCTTTTTTTTTTTCCTTTTGAGCACCTCAGAAACACTTGTTTTGAAGTTTGTTAATTTAAAACATCAGTCAGCATTCACTTATTGAACATTACTTTACAAATAGGAATTAGGGATATGAAGATAGATAAGACATGGCCCCTGCCCTCCAGTGGCTCACCATTTAGAGATGTCTCCATGATGAAAATAGCTAGCATTTATTGGCTTCAACTGTATCTCCTTAAGTACATTCCCTCATTTAATTTTCATAGTGAAGTGGAGTGAATATTGTAACACAAGCACAGGCACACACCAAATGTGATACTCAGAGAAATTAACTAACTTGCCCGTAGTCGCTAAATGATTACATGGCCAAAGCAGAATTGTGGTTTGAGCCCAGATTTCTTCAATTCTAGATCCTATGCTCTTTTTGTTTCTATTTTATATCAAGCTAAAGGTGTAATACATAGTCACTCAGGACACATGGCTGAATGGTTAGGGTGACAGGCAGCACACCCTCTGTTTAGCAAGTAGACATCAGAGCTCCGGAAGAGCTCCTGACTTTCCCTAGGATTCTGTCCAAATCCACCCTTACCAATGAACAGGAATCCCAATGTCCTCACCTGGCATTTATTCTCAAGATTCCCAGGAACACCCACCCCTCACTCGATAGCCAGTATATCCCTTTGCATTATTGGTGACTTTGTCCATGTTTATTGAAACTTTCATGCTTCTTACTAGTCCTCAAGAGACAAGACCTCACAGGACAGTTAGTATTCTCAGAGTTCCTCAGAAATACCCGTTTCCGAGGTCAGAGCACACCTGGGAAAGGGTGTCTCCATACACCCCAATCTAGGCTGATCTTGTATTGTCTAAAGCTCATCTATCAATGTCTCAGATTGTTTCTATTGTGTCACTTCTTTAAAATGCAAAAAAGAAAAGGAAAAGAAAAGAAACTTGGTGAGGTGATTTGTTATTAATTTTTTCCCTCTGATTATCGCTATAAACCTAAAGGTTTGAACTTTGTCAGTGGGCATAGTGTTTACTGTATGAGATTGTTAAGCAGGTTAAAATGAGATAAGATATACCACAAGTACCTGAGAGGTATCACTTCACAAATGGTAAATGTTACTCTTTACTGGCTTAATGTATTGCCCTTCCCAGGAACATTTGTTTTCATAGAATAGGGGTGTCGAACTCAATCAGAGAAGGGGCCAAAATCTAAAATCCAGCCTAAATCGTTGGCCGAATGGTTTACTGAACAGTCATAAACTGTCATTGTGATGGAAACGCAGCGGAGTGCAGTGATGACAGCGCGGTGCGGACCACATTGCAAGGCCTGGCGGGACGGATTTGGCCCACGGGCCTTGTGTTTGACACATGTGTCATAGAAGATAAGTAACCCAACCCAGGTTGAAGTAGCAAATTTCTAATTGCAGAATTATTCTCTTCTGTTATCTGGTGGGAGAGGAAGATATATTTTGGTGGGATATATGTGAGGAAGGTGGGCTCCTTGAAATACACCTGGTATAAGACTCATAATTCAAGGGTCCTGAGCCTATCCCTTCATGACAGTGATAGAAAATTCAAGAATTCAAGGATAGACATAACAATATATTATATATATATTGAGCTTTCATTATGTACTAAGCTTATTTAACTCATTTAATCCTCTCAACAACCTTATAATGTAGGTATCATTAGTTGTCTTCATTTTATGAATAAGGAAACAGAGCCTACATAGGATTATACAATTTGTTCAAGACCACTTAGCCAAGAGGGAGATAAAGGAGTTGGATCAGGTGTTTCCTGACACCAAAGTCTGTGTCTTTAACACTATATCTCACTATATTTACTATCACTGCAAGGTCTGCTGTCTGCTCTTCTTGGGCAGACCCCCAAATATCTTTGGCAAATCCTATTTAGAGAGAAGAAGTGCTTTTTAGTGTTGGTCAGTTAAACAATGGATAAAGTTAATGTCCAGATCTGGGTCAAAGGGAAATAGGAAAAGAGGGATGACTGTGTTTTGGGGAAATATTTGTTATATTTGCAGTCATGTATGCAGCATTGCCTGTATTCTTGGGTGGATGCTAGGAGGTGTGGCCAGAGTGGGCTTTGAAGAACATGGTATATGTTGTCAGTATCAACTTGAACAGCCATGGTGCTGGAGAGTGATAATTCCTTCTGGTGGGCTGGGTCCCATTTCCTATCATCTTCATCTGGGGACCAAGCAGCATGGCATCAATGGGAGGGATATGGGAGGAGGCATCAGGAAAATGTCAGAATGAAAGAGAAATGCAAATCTCTAAAGGCTGTTTTAACTCACCCCCCACTCCCTGCAATTAGAAAAGAGATGATAAGGGCCCAAAAGGATAGAAGAGAGATGATAAATTTAGAGAATTCTTACCAGGTTCATGGTGGAAAAGCAAGATATGTCCAGTAGCAGAGCCATGGAAACTATTAGAAACTGAGCTAATTGCAGACTTCTTATGTGCTTCAGGAAATGGAAAGGCATTTTTTCTCTTAGGGGCTTGTATTTTTTCCAATTATCCTTGTTCAGGAAAGAATTCATCCTTTGAGCAATGTAACCTCCTGCTATGATTTCTCAACTCCACAAAGGAGAATAATTATAGATTAATAATGGACCAAAATAGAAAATGCTAAATGTGGGTAGCAGATAAGTGGAAAATATTCTGCCTTGTAAATTGCATTGTTTGGGTTCCTGGCAACACAGAAGAATAATTCTTACCTAGACAGTGCTGAATGAATGTGAGAATTCACTCCTCTTTCCAACCCATGTAAATGTTTAATCTCAGTGGGACTAGAATTGTGAAGTGTCTTAAGCTTGGTCAAGAGTAAAAACAATATCTTCCAGCACAGATATGTTTTCTTTCTTGAGCTGAAAGATCTGTGGCCTTTTACATGCATGATCACTGGGCACAGTTTTCAGGATATTTCCCAGTAGTATTATACAATATAAAATTAAAGTTTTAACTTATTGAGAACCTTCTGTGGATCAGACTCTGCGTTAAATTCTTTCCCATATTCATTAAAAAATGTTATTCATTTTAAAAAATTGTTTAGCAGCTAGCATATATGAGGCACTAGGCAGAGCACTCAAAGCACTGTGCTGTCTCGATTTTTTTTATAAATATATATTTTATTGATTTTGTACAGAGAGGACGGGAGATAGATAGAGAGTTAAAAACATCTATGAGAGAGAGTCATCAATCAGCTACCTCTTGCACACCCCCTACTGGGAAAATGCCCGCAACCAAGGTACATGCCCTTGACTGGAATCAAACCCGGGAACTTTCAGTCCCCAAGCCCACGCTCCATCCATTGAGCCAAACTGGTATCAGCAACTGTGCTGTCTCTTAATTCTAACAATGCCTCTGAAAAATGGGGAGGATTATGCATCCCTATTTTGCAAATTAAAAACAAAGGGATATTGCTTCAGTATGTGTATGAGATTTTGCTGTCTGTGGATTCCTCTAATGTTTTTTTTTATGTTTTCCCATCTTATGTTTAAGTCCTTTATCCATTTTGAGTTTATTTTTGTGTATGGTATAAGTTGATGGTCTAGTTTCTTTCTTTCTTTCTTTTTTTTTTTTTTTTTTTTTTTTTTTTTGTTGCAAATATCTGTCCAATTTTCCCAGCACCATTTACTGAAAAGGCTGTCTTGGCTCCATTGTATTTTCTTGTCTCCTTTGTCAAATATTAATTGAGCAGAGTGGTTTGGGTTGATTTCTGAGTTCTCTATTCTATTCCATTGATCTATATGTCTGTTCTTATGCCAGTACCAGGCTGTTTTGAGAACTGTGGCTTTGTAATACAGCTTGAAATCTGATATTGAGATCCCTCCTACTTTGTTTTTCTTTCTCAGGATTGCTGAAGCTATTCTGGGTCTTTTTTTAATTCTAGATGAATTTTTGGAGAGTTAGTTCTAGGTTTGTGATATGCTGTTGATATTTTAATGGGAGGTGCATTGAATCTATAGATTGCTTTGGGTAGTATGGACATTTTAATAATTCTACCAATCCATGAACACGGCATGTTGT